GGATCCATACAATATGCTTGCTCCAAAGGCAGCCTCAGGCACTAAAGAGGACCCTAATTTAGTCCCCTCCATCACCAACAAGCGAATCGTGGGCTGCATCTGTGAGTAGCATCTTCCTTCTTTTGTGTGTCCACCTAGACAGTGTGTCTTCCTGCGCACCAGCTAGGAATGCCATGGGCTATCTGGAAGCTGCTTCAGATCTTTGGTGTGAGTGACTGGGTAAAGGGGATATGTGTGTAAATATGTTATTGTAAACATTGAGGCCTTGGCCCTCACAAGCCTTATCGTGCCTCACTAGGCCATCTTCACTGGAGAGGGGGCATGGATAGAGTATCAGAGATTCGGGTTCATTTGGGAATGGAGCACGAGAAAGCGCTTTGATTCTGAATGTATTTATGAGGCGCCTTCTCTGTGCCGGGCACCTTTTCAGGTACTAGGGACACTTACCACAATGGATCTTGCTTTGGGCAAGGAAACTGTTAGACCCTATAGTGACTTGGTGGTGCTGTCTGACAAGCACCGGACTGCTAACTATAAGGTCACTAGTTCAAACCCACCAGAGCAGCTCTGTGAGAGAGAGAGAGATGAAACTCTCTGTCCCTGTGAAGATTTATAGCCTCTGACATCTTGTATAAGGTTTGAGTCGGAGTCCACTTGATGGTAGAGGGTTTGCATGGCACCGTGACTGTAACGAGGTCAATAGAGTCTCCGGTGAACTTAGGGCCTCCGTTTTTCATCTGAAAAAAAAAAGAAGCTTGAACTGCTCTCTCACAAGTGAACCATAATTTTTATTTGGATCATTCGTTTCTGAGGGGGAAAAATTAATGTTGAAAGCTTCCCCTTTCCAGGTTAGACACCTTTCGGTTTTCATTTTCCTTTCAGGTGAAGAGGACAACAGTGCTGTCATCTGGTTTTGGCTGCACAAAGGTGACGCTCAGCGATGCCCTAACTGTGGAACCCATTACAAGCTGGTGCCCCACCAGTTAGCCCACTGAGCCCCTGCACTGACTCACTCGAAACGCTTTCTTCTCTTCAATAAAGACTAGCCATTGCATTGGCTCCTTCTCCCATAATTGACTGGTCTTACTTCTTTCCTGTATTTTTGAAGAAATGGATGATTCTTATATTAGGAATAGTTAACTACTTCTATTAGCTTCTTGGAAATTTTAAATGCTGAACCATCACTGCTTGGATTACAACACAACTATGCTGGTGACCTCAGCATGTAAAGACTGTGACACTGGTGTTACAGTGATAGAAGCCTGGCCCGTGGAGGCAGGCTGGCCAGACTTAAAGTACTGGCTTCATCATCTAGGTGTGTCACTGTGGTCTCTTAGACTTGGTTGCATTTCTGAAAAAGACGAATACCTTAAAGTGTTCGAAGAACTACTAATACCTGTAAAGAACCTGGCAGGCAGCAGGTTCTCATGGAGGGTTCCAGATAAGGTGGTTTTGTGAGAGTTGTTCTAGGAAACTTGAAGAGTTGAGCCGTGATCAAGGCAGAGTTTATAGACTTGGCACCAGTAAAAGCTAGACTGTGGGATAACTCCAGGAACCAATGACTATTTGCAAGGAGGGTGTGAAAAGTAGGGAGAACCTAGACAGGAAAATATGAGAAGCCAGCTGACAGCAATGCACCAACTTTGGCTTTTTATTAGTAAAAACAAGAGTCCTAATCATTTGAATTCTGGACATTTTGAAATTAAGGATTAAATTTTCAGATCAGCTAATGGAGTGAGACGGAGCCCAGAGGGGACAGTGGATTATGAGTTGGGATGGTAGCCACAAGGCCAGTGTTTCTAAACCACCAGCCCCTTCTCAATAGAAAGATGAGTGCAATTCCACTGGGGCAGAATCAACTCAAATGGCAGTGAGTTTGAGATTAATGGACTTGAAGGAACCCTGCTGGTGGTGGCATGGTTTAGGTGTTGGATTTCTAACTGCAAGGTTGGTGGTTCAAACCCATCAGCCAACTACTCCACGGAAGAATGATGAGGTCACCTGTCCCCTTCAAATATTTGTAGTCTGGGAAACCCTACGTAGGGTTGCTATGAGTGGGGTCGGCTTGATGGTTGCGGTTTCTTAGATAATGGAATTGTTTTTTTTATTTAATTTTGGCTTTTTAGAGATGAATGCCAGGTCTGGGCTTATGATTGAAATAGGGTGAGGAAAGTGATTTGGGGCATAGATAAAACAAGAATAATAATGATAGAGTGTATCCAATCCTGATTATCCAACTCTCATCTTAAATGTTCTAAATAACTTTCCCAGTAAGGATCCTGAAGATTCTTCTGGTCTGAAGGTTGCCAAGAAGCCCACCCATCTGTCTTCCTGCATTTTTCTCTTCCATCCCTTCCCCTTTTCTATCGGAACTCTTGATCTGGGTTCTTCATTTCCAAGGAAGATGCTGTTTTTATCCTCTCTGCCTTTCTAACATTCTGTCCATTTCCAGTACATCTCTCATGCCCTGCTGTACTTCCACCCCACCCCTACTCCCCCGCCACCAAAAATGTCCCATGTCCTGATCCCAGGAACCTATGTTAGATATCTGCGGAAGGACATTAATGGATGCAGATGGAATTAGGTTACTTACCAACTCATTTAAAATAGGGCAATTAGCCTGGACTGTCCAGGGGACCCCTCATCACAGGGGAGGCAGAAGAGCATCAGAGGAAGCTGTGAAGGAAGAATGCTAAGAGGCGCAACTTCGCTGCCTTTGGAGGAAGGGGCTAAAAGCCATGGAATGTGGGCAGCCTCTAGAACAGTGGTTCTCAACCTCCTAATGCCACAACTCTTTAATACAGTTCATGTTTTGGTGACCCCCAACCATAAAATTATTTTTGTTGCTACTTCACAACTGTAATTTTGCTACGGTGATGTGTCAGGCGATCCCTGTGAAAGGGTCATTTGACCTCCAAAGGGGTCGCGCGACACACAGGTTGAGAACCAGTGGAGAGGGTTATACTTTGGGCTGATAACCACAAGGTCAACCAGCGGTTCTTCGGGAGGAAGATGAGCCTTTGTGCTTCAGTAGAGTTAGTCTCAAACTCAAAAGGGGCCGTTCTGTGCCGCCCTGTAGGGTTGCTAGGAGTAAGAAACAATGCTATAGCAGTGAGTTTGATTTTTCTAGAATCTGCCTCTAGAAACGGACCTCTTGATGGCTCACCCAGCTGAACCACTGTTGGATTTCTAACCAACGGACATGTAAGATGAAGGTGTTGCCTTAAGGCAGCAAATCTGTAGTAATTGTCTATGGCCACAACAGAAAACAAACGCAGATCCTTGTATAGTTGTTTCTGACCGTGTATGACTGCATAGAATAGCCCCAGGGGGTTTCCAAGGTTGTAAATTTTTATGATGCCAACTGCCAGAATCTTTATCCTGTGGAATCCTGGTAGATTTGAACCACCACTCTTTTGGTAGGCAGCCAGACACGATCGCTGCCACTGAGGCTCCTTAGGAAACAGACCAGTAAACTCCCACTTTTGCCTCCTGTGTCAGTCGTTCCCAATTTTAGTTGCGCATTAGAATTACCTGGGAAACTGCCAAATCCCAATACCCAGGCCACACCAGGATCAGCAAAGCACAATCAGTAGGTGACCCCTTGCAGCAGCAAAGTTTCGGTGATTTCAAGAGCAGCGAAGGGTGAGAACCACTGCTTTAGGCTAGCCACGTATTCTTGAATAACTTTTGCTTTAGCCTTGGCAATAAGGAGCATGAGCAGGTAGAGAGGAAAAATAACAATCCTTTGTCTATTTAGCAGTGTAGCAATTGGGTTCTACTTCCTTTCACCAAATAATGGAGGCGGTAGTCTAATAGTATCTGTTAAATCTTGAATTTATGGAAAAGTAGAGTGACTACGTTGCCAGCCTGATGCCCCATCATCTACAAGTCACTATTAAGACATTTTCAGTATCTACCTATGACCCATCCAAGTCAGGACATGAAGATTTCTACCACCCAATCTTCAGACCTCATTCAAGTTTTGTTAAATATTCCAATAAAAAGATCCAGTGCAGAATCACATGCTGTCTTTGGTTTTCATGCCTTTCTGGTTGTTTTGTCAAAAGATTTGTAAACAAATACTCATAGCAGCTTTATTTAGAAAAATTGCCACACATAAACTGGCTTTTAATTACTTGCATGTGATATTAATGATCTTATTTTATAAGTTCTGTATTGTCTGATTTCTTTGGAAATCAGCTCAAATGTGGATCTCTTCCAGTTGGTTGGCCAGGTAGTGGTTTTCTAAATTTCTTGGCATAGAAAAGTGAGTGCTTCCAATGCCTCATCAACTTGTTGAAATATGCCAATTGATATTCCGTTGATTCCTGGAGCCTCATTTTCCACTAATGCAGCGTGGACTTCAATACCATTCTTGATCCTAGGCTACCTCTTGAAACGACTGAGCACCTCCCATTCTTCTTGGTACAGTGACTGTGTAGAAGTTTTCCACCTTCTTGTTTTCTGCATCAGTATTTTGTCCATGGAGTCCTTCAATATGGAACTTGAGGTATAAATTTTTCCTTCAGTTCTTCAAGATATATTGAGCATATTCTTCCCTTTATATTTTCTAACTCCTTGTCTTTGCACATTGCATTATTTTTGTCTTCCCATCCTACCTTTTGATATTATCTGGCCAGTTCTTTTATTTCTTTTGTTTGCGTTAGCTACCCTACATTCGAGAGAAAATTCAAAGCCTCTTCTGACATCCACTCCCATCTTTTCCACGTTCCTGTCCTAGTGACTTTTTGCTTTCTTCTTGTAAGATGTTGACATCATCCCACAACTTGTCTAGTCTTTGCCCATCATTCTCCAAAGCATCAAATCTCTAGGACGGCCAGGATCTCAGCAGCGAGGTCCACGCAGAGAGCAGTTTTCATGTCTCTTTAGCCTCCTGTTCTGAAATCGTTACTGTTTTGCATTTTATGACCTTGACACTTGAAAATCACACCAACAATTTGGTTTGGTCTGGTGTCTCCTCGCAATTCGAATCAACTGTGCATCTTGGGCAGTGCTGTTGTGCTCTTCTCTGGTTTGTCCTAGTTCTGATGAAGGTCTTCGGTCACTTGAGTAAGCTAATGTCAGCCAGGCTACGCCGTAATAACAAGTAATCTTATGGGGCTCTATTTGGAGACTGATAATACTGAGACTCCTGTTTTCCTATTCTGTGGATCATAATCTGTTGCTATCATCTGTTTCAGATTTGGCTAGTAGGGGCCTTTCAACTGTCCCCTGAAATGTCTCTTGTTCTTTGAGCAAAAGCGTTCCTGTTAGTAAACCCATGAGGGCAGGTGCTATTGTTATCACCCCCAGGTGAGAGCACAAGCCCAGGAGCAGTGACAATTAAATGACTGTCTCAGGATTGTGCACAGATTCTAAATTGTGGCAGCAGGTTTGTGCACCCAGGCCATTTGGCTTAGAGCCTAAGCTCATTTTTCTCCATTTTGAAATGATTTAGACTTACCAAAAAAGTTGCAGAAACCGTAGCATTCCTGTTCACCTTCACCTAAGGGAATGAAGAATCTAAGACCATATTTTACATAACCACGAGAGCCAGGAAACGAACATTGATACCATACAATTAACTAACCCACAGTCCGTATTTGGACTTTGCAAGTTTTCCCATGGAGGTCTTTTTCCAGTCCAAGATTTTACGTGGCACTTGTCAAATCCTTCCAATCTTCAATCTGTCCATTTCACAGCCACTGATGAGTCATGTGACTGCAACAATTATGGCCATTATTATTTTTCCATTAGATCTTCCACACATAGTAATTGGAATTCTCTTCTCCCTGGTGTATATAGTTACTCAATTATTTGTGTATGTCAGTACAGATCGGTGATTTGTACTTTATTCTAGAGCTTATACCCATTACATTTGACCAGCAGGAGCGCCTTCAAGTTGGCCCCAGCGGCCTTTTGCTGAGACCTTATGTTTGAACACTTCTTAATTTTACAACCTAAGATAATCCAGGTTCACCTTGTGTTTTTCCTGTAGCTCTAGAGTTCCTCCAAGAGCTCTGATTCCTTTTATTCAATGGTATTTAGAAACCAAGACTGGGATGCTGTGTGCTCACTGCTACTGGGTGTCATAGTTCCTAGGCTCTCTCAGTACACAGAGCAAGGAAACATATTCTGACCCTCACGCCCTGCCCCCAAATTCTATCTGTCTATATTAAAATCCATGCATTCATTCTGAAATTCAGACTCCAACCCAGCTCAATTCTATCCTTACTCTCCTACTAATTTTTTTCCAAGTGTGAAACATGGCAGAGCCTGAGCCAATATATTATCCTGCTGGAAGAGTTGGAAAGATGTTGCATTGCGCTTTGCCTGACTGGATGGAACTGCGACAGACATAAGGGGGTTAGCTTCCAGCAGAGAGGAGGCATGAGTGTAGGCAATCAGGCCAGTGAGCATGATGATGCATTAGGCGGAATGGGGAAGGGATAGATCGCAAAGGGTCTGGATCAAATGCAACAATACAGTTTATAAAGGTGACTTCACCAGACAGTGGGAAAGCACCAACACTTTAGAGCTAGAAAAGTGGCGGAACCAAGGCTGTCAGGCTTTAGATCCCAGAGCTAGTGGGAGGGTGGGAGCCAGTGGTCATGGAAAAAAGAAGGCGGGGGAGTGGGGAGAACAGCATGCAGAACAACCAACTGTAACTGACCAGAGGCGGAGGTGGTCTGTTCCAAACCTGTGGTTGGAGAAAGTGGAGCCGTGAGCAGAACGGGAGGAGGCACTAGTTTGGAGGACGCCCAGGTGGGCGGTCTAGATCCTCTCCCCCCCTTGGCAGCAGGGACAGGCTCAGTGCTCTGTGATCCCAACACAAAACCCCTGGGGCAGAGCAGGCCTGACTCCGTATTCTTGTCCCTCCTACTTGATTTCCTTGCTTCTGGGCCTTCCCTTGTCCGCACCAATCCTAATGGTCAATGCATAGTTTTGATCACATCTCCCTATGGCTAGTCACGCCTCATCTGGGACAACGTTAAAATCCTCAAGGCCTTCCACACCTAGCGTTCACTTTCTGTTCACATTTTCACTTACATTATGAACAGAAGCAGCTGCCCTGACTTGGCATCACTCAGGCCTGTGCCATCTCTCCAGCCCACAACTCCCAGTTTCGAGTGCCTACCTTTGCCTGGAATACCTTTGTCCTGTCTAACCAACAAGATCCCTGGTGGCGTAGTGATTACGCATTGGGCTGCTAACTCTCAGGTCAGCAGTTGGAAACCACCAGTCTCTCCTTAGGAGACAGAGCTTTCTACTCCTGGAAAGGAGTTAGAGTCCAGAAACCCACAGGGTGGTTCCACCCTGTCCAATAGGGCCCCTCTGAGTCCGTATTTTATCTAAGCAACCCTTCCTGCTCTCTTGCAGTGAGCTGACCTGATGCTGCAGTAGATGGCATTCCTCTAAGCTCCAGAACTGTGACAGGGCCTGTCTCTTCCTGGCCTGACATCTCAGGTTGGGGCTGGGCTGGGCAGGCTAGATCTCTAGGGCTCCACTCACCTGGCACCCCGCTGCACACACTGCAGGTGCTCCAGCATTTAATGAGCAAAGGTTACTTTCCAAATCCTCACTTCCCTCCCGCTGCCTCCGACTCTTCCTTTAGAGCCCAGCTCATCTCCCCCATGCCGTCCCGCTTTCCCCCTCGCTCTCCTCTTCTGAACGCAGGCACCGTCAGTCTGCACCTTCGGTGGTGGCCGCTTGTCAGCCTCGGCCCCTCTGAGCCGAGTCCGCAGAACAGATGACGACACTGGAGTCCCTGGGCCCTGCCTGCTCTGCAGCTCGGGATAGGGAGGGAGTGGGATGGGGCTGAGCCCTGGGCAATCCCAAGAGGCCTTGAACCAGGGGTAATGAAGCCAGGAATTTTGCCGCCAGGTTCAAGGCCCACTCTCCTGGGGCCCCGCCAACCATGGAAACCCACAGGGCCATGCTGCTTTCTCTCGGCGATTCCCCAAGGACCGAAGAGCACACAGTAGTACAAAGAGCCACAAGAAGACGCAGCCACACACCGAGCTTTGTCCATAATTGTGACTATAATGATTTACAAAAAAAACAATTTTTTTCAGGCAACTGTGTTAAATTATTGTACATATTTTGGGGGGGAGGGCATTTATAGGGAGTGTAGTTTGAGGCCCTGATCACTGGTAGTGAGGACGTCGTTCTTGGAGGAGGTGGGCGATGGCAATGCTCCCCACCTCCAGGTTGGACTTCAGACTAAGTGGCTTCTTTCAAAAGTGAAGACACTTAACCCTTTCCCATCCAGGGTACTGGGGCAAAGGACAGGGAGCAGCAACTCAGTGACGTGTTTTGCAGGGGGAGGAGCGTGACAAAGTTGATTGCCTGCACCCTGGGCATCCCCTGCCCTGGGCCAGATGTAGCCTGGCACTCGGGCCTCCACCAGGGCACTCAGCCTGCAGAGCCCGAAGGGCAGAGCACGAGAGTCAGGAATGGCTTAGGGAGGGCCCTCAAGGCTGCCGTCAGGCCAGGAAGAGGAGGACAAATTGAGAAGCGGTGACGCACCTCCGGGGAACTACCACCTACCTACTCTCCCAACACCTCAAGGGAGTAACAGAGGTACCAGACAACTGGGCAACCTGCCAGAGGAAATGGCGCATGTGGGGACTGGTCTTGGACTGCAGAGGAGTTGCTGCCCAGGAAGATCGTAGCAAGGAAACACAGGGCAGCCCATGGTGGGCTCCTCAATCCCTGTGCCCAGCTCAGCTACCCTGTCCAGGATGCTAAACATTTGGGGGGGGGTGAGGGGTACGGCGGCAGGGAGCATCACTGCACCTCCTGCTGGGGGTTCAGGGCATGCAGGGGTCCCTAAGCCTAGTATGTGAGCCCAGACCAGAAAGGGTTGAAGGCACTGGCTCCCCTTTCCTCCCAGCCTGCCAACGCCCCCCTTGGGCACTAGAAAGTCTTGCGATGAATAGCACGGGAGCCGTCCTCTTCATACTCCTTCTTGGATACCCACATCTTCTTGAAGGTGTCCAGCGAGGCCAAGATGGAGCCACTGTGCGGAGGGGGACCCGGGGGCTGAGGCAACCTCCTTCCCACAGCACTCAGCCCCATTTTCCTGACCTGGGAAACAAGCAACACCCTCCCCGCCCACCCCCCACCCTCCTCCTCCACCTGTCCAGGGCCCACCCTGGGAGGACTGGTGTCCTCCTCCCCAGGCCTCCCCGTGGGCCCTGCCTCACCCGATCCATGTAGAGTACAGCCGCTCCTGAGGAGCCGAGATCTGGTGGGAGCAAGCGACAGCCTAACTACCCCATTCCCACACGACAGCACCTCTCCAGCCGGGGGTACTTGCCACAGGGCCAGGCAGGACAGCAAGTGGCCAGTTGGGGCAGACGGAGATGGGAGAGGGTGACGGGGCGGTTGGGGTGGGAGCATGGGCCTGCGGTTGGACTGGAGCCCACGCTGGCTCTTCCTGCCCCTGGTCACGGCTGCCCAGCACCCCGAGGCCTGATGGGGACTCTCCGGAACCTCACCTTGATTTTGATGTCCTTTGGAGCTAGTTTCTTCACTTCACTTAGTAATCGGTCGCCGAAGCCTGCGGACACAAGCCTGCTGGCCAAACTGCGGTCACCACCCCAGCTCCCTCCCTGCCCTTAGCTATATCCCTTGTGCAACCTCTGGTGCAGCCAGCAGCCACTCTCCCTTCCACCCACTCCTTTTCTGGGGTTAAGGGTACAGGGGAGGCAACAGCCCCAGGCCTGTGGGTGGGCCCGGCTCCCTGTGAGGAGGTGGCGCCTCAAGTGGCCCAGCCACCACGCTCTTCCCTCAGCAAACACTCCATGAGGCCACGGCCAACCCAGCACAACACGGGGGAAAACAGCTCCAAGGTCGCCCACGGTGCTGCAACACCTGCGACACGCACCCCTGGCCGGGCCTGTAAGTGTGCGCTGGCCACCAAATGACAGACACACAGCCGTCATGTGTACTGGACACGCCTTTTGGCGCTCCGCCTGTCCATGAGGAGGGGCTTGTTATTTTGGACAGACTCTCATCATGTGACATGATAAGGGTACAAGATTGTCTACTGCAGCACCTCTGGTTAGAAATGGCGACAGCCACCTCCACAGCCATCAACAGGACTCGGTAAGACGGTGCCTGGTCAGACACAACCACGAGGTCAGTCACACGCGCGGCGGAGAGACCACTGCCGAGTAAAGGCCTGCGTGGCGTGGAGTAGCTGAAAGGGCATGGGGGTGGGGTGGGGGCTGAGTGCCTCTTATGGGGAAGGAACTGGGTGGCCAGGGACAAAGGTGGGAGACTCTTCACTGAGTCTGTTTTAGAACCCGTGTGATCACAGAACTCATTCACCGAGGACATGGGGAGAAATGGTCAGGTCTCGGACGCCACGAGCTAGGCACCTTTGAACAGCGTCGAGCCGCCTGAGAGCACGATATTGGCGAAGAGCGTGCGGCGCAGGTCCACGTCCGACTTGTGGATGGCGAAGGCCAGCACCTCGTGGAGCCCCTCACTCTCGTCCCCGACCAGGTCTGGCTGGAACAGCAGCTCCGGGGCCCGGAACCGCGCCGGCCCCACCTTCGGGACACAAGGTGGAGGCTGACGAGAGGGCCTCTTCTGCCCGAGCCCGCCCACCCCCCACGCCCTGGCCTCGCCGTGCCGACCTCCATGCCTGGCCAACCACTTACGTCGAGCATGCTGCCGTCTGGCAAGGTGTACTGCACCTTCTCCGTCTCCAGGGCCTCGTCCTTCTGGGGGTTGATGGACAGGTAGCAGGCTCGCTACGGGGCAGAAATACCAGCTCAGGAGGCTGCCACTTTAAGGAGGGGGGATCGGCCACTTCCCGCTGCGGACTCCCTTTGTGTGTCCCCACCCTGCTCACCTCTTTGATGGTCCGGACGACCTCGAACTCGGCCGAGGTGTGGAAGTCCACGCCCTCTTTGCGCAGCAGCAGCCGCAGGTACCGGGAGACGTCTCGGCCGGCAATGTCCACCCGCATGATGGAGTGTGGCATGGCAAAGCCCTCGTAGATGGGGACCGCGTGAGTGACGCCATCCCCCGAGTCTAGAACCACTCCCGTCGTCCGTCCTGTGGCATACCTGTGTCACCAAGTCAGGGTCCCCTCAGTCGGCTGTGGAGGCCGGGGCCTGCCCACCCGGGAAGGAACCCTGGGCGGTTCAGACAGACGTCCGGCCGCAGGCGAGGGCACTCACAGGCTGAGCACGGCCTGCATGGAGATAAACAGGGCCGGCACGTTGAAGGTCTCGAAGAACACCTCTGCCGCCTTCTCTCGGTTCTTACTCGGGTTCAGCGGAGCCTCCGTTAGAAGCACCGGGTGCTACAAGAGACGGGAGAGTCCTGGGCACGCGGGGAGACCCTGAAAGAAATCTTCCCAGAGAGCCCTCCACCCAGTCTTGCTTCCCAAGACCACCACCCAGTCATTTGCCAGCAGTTTAGTCTCTCAAAGGAATTCTGGAAAATTCTGCCTGGCACTTCGTGAGTGTGCCAGCTGTACACGCACACACATGCACGTGCATGCAGAGCAGCCCTCAAACAGCGGGCAGGACACTGCAGGGGAGAGGGCGCAGTGGGCGCGCTTGGAGGCAGGCGGGGGCGGCCGCCACACCTCCTCGGAGAACGTCTGCAGCTGGTCCTTGGAGTAGACGTACTGCCAGATGCGCTCCATGTCGTTCCAGTCCCGCACCACGCCGTGCTCCATCGGGTAGCGGATGGCCAGCAGCCCCCGGTGCTCCTGCGGCAGGAGGGACGCACAAGCCAGATGCGCTATCAGGCCCCTCCGCGAGGAACTGCCGGCTGCCTTCCTGGCAGGGGTGGCCTCCTTCACCTGACCCTAGTTCTGCAGAAGGGCCTGAACTTGGAGCCTCTCCGGCTTCAGCCGGCTGGGGATCAGCTTGCGGGGAGCTGTGCTCCCTCCCAGCTCCTCTCTCGGGGCCCTGCCATTGCCTTCCTAACAGGCTCTCTCCCTTTGGCGGTCACGGATCTCTGACGTCTCTACGGACACCGCCCACATCCACCACCGCTTGACTGGCCCCACTCGTTAGCACGACCAGGGGGCCAAATCCAGCCGGGCCTTCCCTGCTCTTTACAGCTCCTCTGTGGGGACCATCCCCACCCCTGCCCTGCCCCATCCCTCCCCAGCTGCCTCTCCCAGTGCTGATGGCCCCCTCAGGGCCTTCCTTCTCCCCAAGCAGCACTCGGGCTCTCTCACCCAAAACCTAGGTGCCCAAGCTCCCCACACCCCACGTTCGCTCTGCTCCGGAGGGCTTGGGCTGAGCTGGGCAGCCTCTAGATACATCATCAGGCCCGAGCTCAAGGGGAGGTCCCCCGCTGCTCTCCTCCAGAACAGGTCATCCTGGCTCCAGAGTCAGTCCTTTCCTCTAGCTTCCAAAAGTCATGGGCTGGTCTAACTGTGCTCTCCACAGTAGACCCATCACTCCAGCTCACAGAGGAAGGGATGCAGGGAGGGAGGGAGGCAGCACAGTGCAGCGTGGAAGTTCAGGGATGGAGTATGGAAGCCCAGAAGGGGCACCCAGCAGCTGGCCCTGCAGGGCAAATTCCCAGGGCCCCTCTTGGGAGGTACAGCTCTGACCACCAGCTCCTACTGCAGGAGGACCCCAAATCGGGAAAGGTTGGCTACAGGTGTTACCTCTGCTTTTGGTCCAATGAAGAGGTCCCCCTCCAGGGCTCCGGCCATCACCCGCATGTGCTTAGGGCGCCCAACACTGTGCAAGGGCAGACTCGGTCAGTAAGGTGGGGAGGGGCCCGGTGGAGCGCATGTCCAGTCCACCCCCAACAGGACATGGATAAAACCAGGCCAGGCCTGCGGGGCGTTGCACCACAGAGTGGGCCTGGGCGGGACGGGAAGCTCAGAGCAAGAAGTGTCTTTCATGACTTGCTCTTCCCTCTCCCCCAAACTGGAATCCCAGCCCTTCGTGGCTGGCCCAGGCCTGGCCCAGGGTCCGCCTTCCTTGGCCATCATGACTCAGACCAGGCTCTCCACTTTAAAGAGCGGTGCTGCCACTGCCTCGCAGGCTAAGGGAAGCTGCGTGCTGCTTCCTCATGTGCCCTGCTCCCCTGCCAGGGCTTCTACTGCACAGGCTTAAGTTCTCAAAACTAGAATAAAAGTTTGATTGACCTCCACTCAAGTACTCCCTCAACACAAGAATACTTTCTTCTAGTAAATTGGCATTCTATGATGCTCACCTTCCCGACACAAC